AAGCAGCCCCCCCGCCCCCCCCGCGCCCCCCGCCGCTCCTCCAGCGGAGGTGGCTCGTCCTCCATGGCCGCGGCCCACCCGCCCGGAAGAAGGGCGGAACTGTGGGAGGCGCGCGCGGGCCTCTGGGAGCGGGGGGCGGGGCCTCGCCGCCACGTGACTTGAACAGCCTATAGGGAAGGGACTCTGTAAGGGCGGGAGCTGTCATTGGAGAGGCGTTTTCCAATCTCTCCCAGACGTGGCTTCTTTTGCCTTCTCTGAATGGCATCGCCCATCTCCTGATCAATTTTTATTTTTTTTTATAGGAAAAATATTTTTTTTCTACAGCAAAGTTTAAAAAACAGCACCATAGGCGGTCCCGTAAATGTTTTCCAGCTCGTTAAATGTTAATGTTTTGCTACGTTTGATTTCTTTCTTCTTTTTAAAGAATTATTTTATTTTAACTTTGTTTGTTTGTTTGTTTTAATTTGACCAAAGAGGGACAGAGCAAGAGTAAGAGCGAGAGAGAAAAAGTGTGAAAGCAAGCCACCAGGTCCAGGACTTGAACTGCAGTTAGCCATGTCGGAGTCCAATGGCCTTAAACACCATGCCACCTGTCAGCCCCACACTCACTTATTTTTGCTGAATTGTTTGAAAATAGGTTGCATATTCATCATCCCAAAACATGCATACCCTAGGAAAAAGAATATTTCCCTTCACTACAATACAGGTTCAAACCTAAGAAAACTAATTCTGTAAAAAAATCATCTAATATATGGTTCATATTCAAATTTACTCAATTGTCCCCCAAATTCCTTTTATAGGGGTTTTATTATTTTTCAACCCATGAGCTATAATCAATTAACATCTCCTTAGATTCGGAAGTGTACATGACTGCTCATAGACTAATGATTAAGGAAGCCTGCTCCTACATGGCTTGCCAGGGTTAGCAACTTGGGAGGGGCAGCATGCCTGAAATCCCAGCAGGTGGAGCAATGAAGATGGGATTGCAGCATGACCATACCCCACATGTGGGATGAGATGCTCTCTCTCTCTCTCTTTCTCTCTCTCTCTCTGGCAAGAGCATGTACCCTCTGGCAATTAAAAAAAAAAACAAAAGTTAGAGGGACCAGCAGACAGCATAATGGTTACATCGGTGGACTCCCACATAGTCAACCACAGTTCGATTCCTGGACCCCACAGCTTAAAACTCATGCCTGGCATGTGTGCGTGCACACCGAAGAGAAGAATGGAGAAGAGATTGCAGCATGGCCATTCGATCTGAGGGGTGATTTCTCACTTTCTGTCTCTCTGTCTC